TCCTGGATGGTTCTCGGAGGGGTGTTGCGAGTTGCAATTGCTCTCCCCAGATCGTCCCAGACATGCTCTGTAGGATTGAGGTTTGGAAACCTGGCTGGCCAATCCACCCGGCGAATATCCTCACTCTCGAGAAATTCGTTGACCAGAAGAGCTCTATGTGGCCCAACGTTATCATGCTGTAAGATGAAATCGGCGGCCTACTGCAGCCTGGAAAAGACGAATATAAGGCTCCAAGACCTCATCCCTATACCTCACACCAGTCACAGAACCTCTATCAAAGACGTGGAGAGGTGTGTAGCCATCCAACATGATGCCTGCCCAGATCATTATACCATCACCGCCATAATTGTTGATTTCGCGGACATTGTAGGGTAAGTAGTGGATCCCTGGCTCTCTCCATATGAAAGTACGGTGAGAATCGATGCTTAGGCTAAAACAGTACTCGGTGAACAGAACGGTCGCCCATTGCTCCATACTCCAATCACTATGCTGCCTGCACCATGCTAATCGGACTGTCCTGCCCATAGATGTGAGCGGGACTTGAACAGCCGGTTTTCTGGCAAACAACCCTCTCTCATTCTGTCTTTTGGAAACAGTCACCCTTGCAGAGTTGCCAACTCTCCCGATTTTCGACCGATCTCCCGCCAACCCGATTTACAATATATTTCTCCCGACTTTTTCTTATTCTTAAAATTTCTCACGATTTTTATGGAACTTGGCTTAATACTTTGTTATATGAACAAAAGTGATTTTGGACGTCTGAAAGCAATTGAATTTTCTCTAGATTATATCTAAAACAAAACCTTACGAATCAGATAACTTATGCTTTGTGAGTGAGAGCATTATACGTATCCCAGAAACGTCGTTCTCCAATGGGCATCGAACTCCACTGCGTGTCAGCTGGCATATATTAGCCAATGAGGACAAGGCAAGCTGTTATTTGGATGTTCTTTAGTTATTTCGTTCAATTTGTGCTGAGTTGTGTGAGTGCACGTGTCTTCGGGAAATAGTTTTAGAAATTATCATCTTTTGTTATGTCTGCGAGAAAGAAATACTCGTGTACGTTTCAAAAATCGTACACAGTTCACTTTCCTTCCATTATTTCCTCAAGGAAATGTAATAAATTTGCGATGTGCACCGCCTGTCATTGTGATTTTTCGAATTCGCAATGTGGAAGGGTGGATGTTCTCAAACATGTGCAAACACAAGGATAACATGAGTTGTTTTTTAAAAAAAACGAAAAATTAAATTTTTTTCTTCGGAAACAAAGGAAAAGGACCAAAAAGTTATTAATGCAGAATGTCTGTTCTCTGCCTTTTTACTGGAGCACAACCTGCCACTGAATGCATCGGATCACGCTGCAGCTTTATTTAGAAAAATGTTTCCTGATAGTGAAATTGCTAAGAAATACTCAAGTGCAAGAACCAAAACAGGTGCAATTGTTAAAGAAATGAGTTTGAAAAATAAATCTTCAGTTATTGATTGCACAAAACAGCTCCGTTCTGCCTCTCTATGGATAGAAGCAATAATACCGATTGAAAACTGTATCCAATTGTTGTTTCTTTTTTTAATTCAAATTCTTAAGAAATTGAGTCGAGTTTACTTTCTGTCCCCATTTTAGAAGGACATTTGACAGGCTTTAATATACCGCAGCTAATTATTAAACTTTAAAAGAAAATGCAGGCCCTCTGGATAATTGCTTAGCACTTGGTGCCGATTATGCACCAATATTGGTAGGCTTGAATACTGGTGTTGCAGGCATCTTAAGAAAGGAAAATTCAGATTTGCAGATTATGAGGTGTACCTGTCACCTCTTAAATTTAGCAGCTGAAAAAGGGGCAGCTTCTTTACCAATAAATGTGGATGAACACATTGTTGATATTTATTATTATTTTGAAAGGAGTTCTAAAAGGAAGGAAAAATTGAAACAGTTCCAACAGCTGCATAACAGCAGTTTAGAATTAGAAAACTTGAATGAAGTTATAAAATCAGCTAGGATTGACACCCAGTGGAGTTTAATTGGAAAACTGAAAGGTGCTGATGGAATTTAAAAATATAGCCAACTGTCTAGAATTGTGTTGGCCATCTTGACAGTTCCCCATAGTAGTACAGAGTGTGAGAGGATTTTCAATGTTGTTGAATAAACGAGGACTAAATTTAGATCTAATATTAGTGATGACACATTAGAAAAACTTTTCTTAGCGAAAGCAGGCCTACGTGTCAATTGCAGTGAACAAAATTAGTTCTTTAAGAAAGAAACTTCCTAATTTTCTAAACTAAAATTCCCTCCTTTTTTTTTATTTCCGTAAACGATGCAAGTAATAAAAATGTTTTTTATGTGTAAGGTATTTTTGTGTTGCTTGCATTTAAGAATTAGTTACTATTAAAGTTAATTCATTATTAAAAACCATATTTTTATCATTTAAAAAGTCTTTTTAACATTGTGAAAAATCTCCTGATTTCTTAAAAAAATCTCCTGATTTTTGAGTGTCATAGGTTGGCAAGTATGCCCTTGTTACACGGATTCCTGTGGCTGCATACAGATCCCGAGAGAGCCGAGAAGCTGTAGTCCGTCTGTTATGCCTCGCTAAAATGGACAAATAATGATATTCTCTGGGTATCGTGGGTCTTGGACGACCTTGCCCAGGCTTTCTGTCGATGGATCCAGTATCCTGGAACTGTTTCAATAGGTTACACATGACGCTGGATATTAAATTAAACTCTCTGCATATCTGGACTTGCGATTGGCCTGCCTCTAGCCTTCCCACTATTCGCCACATCATTCCATCATCTAATTGTTGGTGGTACTCATTTTTACTGTTCCGTTGTGAATTTAACCTAATGTTGCAAGATAACACGAAGAAATTTGCCGAGGTGTGCTAGCAAACGCAATTCGTCTTACCCTCCACACGCTTATAAAGCCTGTTTTTCGCTGGCTTCGCCTACACACGCGTGTACACTTACGTATTTGCTGTACAATACTTGCATTTTTATCTAGAAGCTGTGGTTTTTCCTTCAGTTCAGTTCTTATCATGCAATTCGATAAAATATGCAAATTCTCTTAATGTATTTCACCAGTGTGTATATATGTGTGGGTGTGTGTTAAATAACTTGCATTAAGTGAATATTGAATGAATTGCCAATTTATCGTTTATCATAGTTTCATTTTCATGGATGTTTACAACATTTGGCAACTTTTACTTCACACTTTCTTAAACAAGAATTGCACCAGCGCCATTTTCTGTTGCCTCTACCACTATAGAACACAGATAGAGGTAGAGACAACAGTTGTATTCTATAGTTCTACCACTATAGAGCACAACTTTTGATGCACGATTGACCAATGCTAATTTCACAAATGAATGCAAATTCTAAGAATTGCTACTTAACAGGAAGACAGGTAATCTCCACAAAAGAATTTTAGTACTCAGAATTTTTAATGGAATATTTCTGACCTATTGTATTTGTTTTTTGTCAAATTTGCAACAGGGTTTCTATGAAGTGGCCGCAAAATATTGTGACTATATCTTTGTGTGGAGTATTCCAGATCAGAAGTCTTATAGTGCTGTAGGAATAGTTCAGTTTTTTTACAGTGTTGTAGCTCGTAACTGAAGCTTCTTTTGAATTTAGAATTTTGTGTTCATAAGTTCATACAAGGAAACTCCTTTAGATTTAAACTAAAAAATACAGATTTAAAAAGGTAAAAAAAGCATAGTTTAGTAGAAATGCAAGGGTTACTACTTATATTTCTGGGCTAATAATGAACAAACAAATGTTTATGCTTGACATTGGTTTTATTGTTTTTCAAAGTATTTCCCCATGAAGGTCAATACACTTTTGCATGCATTTGAACCAATTTTCAAAGCTCTTTTTCCACTCCAATTGAGGTAACTCCAAAACATGCATTTTGAGTGCATCAAGTGCTTCTTCGGGTGTCACAGATTACTGACCATATAATTTATTTTTGATATGGTGGAATAAAAAAAGTCACGGGGTGCCAGATCAGGGCTATACGGCAGATGACCCATCAATTTGATGTATTGGCCTGTCAAAATTCCTTTGTTTGAGCCAATGTACAGGAGCTGTCATTGTCATGATGAATAAATTGGTTGTGTATCATTCAGCCGTCTTGCCTTCCTCTAATGCCACTGTTACCACGTGACCCATAATGCCAACGAAACAGGCAACCATTTGCTTCAATGCGCTTGTTTCTCGAGCAACTTTTAACGAATTTGGCTCGTCTTGGAAGATCCATACAGTCGACTGCTGTTTTGTTTCAAGCTCGTATGCATAGATCTTTGATTCTCACCTGTGTTATACACAGCCTTGGATGGGCCTTGAACATATTTTTCCAACATTTCCTGAGCAAATTATTTCAACATTTTGTGTATGAGCAGATTTTCATGTCCACATCTCTATCAAAACATTGTTTCATTTAAGAGCTTATCATGTGTTGAGAGATACGACTGGTCATGAATTAACATTTATATGAAAAAAAGATAATAACTCATAGTTTCCTTTGAGTTCTTTTTGTCATGAGGAAACTATAAATAATTATATTTAGGACTGCTGGTGTGATTTATTGCTAAGCTTGGTGCAGTTAACAAAACGGAGGCAGTAATAATAAGGAAGTACGGGTAATTTCATTATTGCAGGTAAAATGACATACATATTTCAATGTGCAGTAATTATCTTTGTCTTTTATTGTACCAAGTTAATAATAAAGTTGTATTTTTATTATTATCTTGTTGACCTTTTTTAATAAGGTATGATTTAACTTCTATTGTGGAACCATAATTTTCCATGTTTGTGTGGTTAATTAGAATTTTATTGTATTAAAATTGTTGGCACCAGTATATCAGTGAAATGATTTAATATTTGTACTTCTGGTGATATTCTAAGTATGAAAACTAACAGATGTTTTGAACATTTATGTTCAGAAAGTGTCTTGAATATTCAAGTAAATCTGGCTTAGATTTTTATTTATTTTTCAGGGAAAAAAATCATTTCTTTGTTCAAGATCAAAGTTAGAGATCTGAGATAACATTAAATGAATTGTTTAATCACATTCAGCATATTTTAAGTTAAAAGAAGTCACCAAACCAGAAATCACCATGCAGAACGGCACGTATCCTTGGATGGCATCTTCTTCCTTAACACAGAAGAGTTGGCCACCAGGCTACCAGGCAAGTTTGACTGATCTTTTTCTGAAGAAAAATCCTCTTCATTTTGGCACTGGGATTTCTCAGTTAGCAGCTGCATCTAATTACATAGAAAAAATGTCAACTATTAATGATCAACCTCCAAAATGTCCTCATCCTGATGCCAAAGATAAACCATATCCATGTGATATATGCCAGCAGTACTTAAATCTGTGTAATAGTCTTCGAAACGACGGCACACCAGCGAATTCTGCTCGACAGAGTACCAGTCCTGTGATGGCAAATTCTCCTTCTGAAAGAAAACCAATGAATCTTATGCCAAATGCTCCTACTCATAATATTATTCCCACAAGTGGCATTCATCCTACAATGAGTGTACATCCGGGGCCGCCTCCGAACTTGCAAAACACGAAGCCCCGGCCGATACCCACAAAGCAGTTTCCTTGTCCCGTGTGTCATAAATTATTTACACAGAAAGGAAATTTAAAGACTCACATGATGATACATACCGGAGAAAAGCCTTATGCATGTCAAGCGTGTGGTAAAAGTTTTACTCAAAAGGGCAATGTCGATACACACATGAAAATTCATACTGGAGAAAGAGAATATGGTTGTGAAGCGTGTGGGAAACGGTTTACCCAGAAAGGTAATTTAAAGACTCATATACGAAGTGTGCACACAAAAGAAAAGCCTTTTGCATGTGGTTTATGTGGGAAATGTTTTTCTCAAAAGGGTAACATGCAGACTCATTTAAGAACACACAACAAAGATGACCGATTTCCATGTACACTTTGCGGAAAAACATTCTCTCAGAAAGGAAATCTGAAAACACACATGGCCCGCCATGCAGGTCAGATACCAACAAAACGCCAGTTTGGGTCACGCCTTGCTAACCGGACTTACGTCGGGCAGTTGGTGAAAGCTGGTCAGCCAACAGTGCCTCGTATGCAACCTTTTCCCATCCAGCCGTCTCCTGTTTCTTCTCAAGCATCTACCACATCTCCGTTGAATTCCCCGACCACCCCGCAGCCTCTGTCTACGTCGACGCAGAATAATCCCGATATCTGTAGTCCACACCAAAGTTTAGGCAATCCATATTCAGAATCTCCTATTGACTTAAAACCTCCACTGAATTGTCATCTTCCACTTTCTAGACCCATGTCTTGTAATCAACCATCTGGTATCAACTCTCCTAGTCCGCACCCATCACATTTATCTAGCCCTTCGCCCGACGAAGAACCCAATTCTCGACCGTTTATCCACAGTAAGTTATTCCAACATACGAATAATGTACATAGCCCAAATTACATGAATGATCATTTACAAGAAATGCATCCCAATGGTGGTTTAATACCCAATTCTCAACAGACGAGGATAACGAGCCCCCTACCGGTCGGAACTCCCAACCATCTCCAGAATCACGAACGTGATTCTCGACCGTTCTACTCGGCTCCTCCGACGCCCATTCCCGCTCCCATGACCCCGGTTTCCAGATGGCTGCCGCACGGCTCAACGCGGCATTATGACTCGTTTCAGTCCCACGCTGCTCTTGGGTGTTACAGTTCTATAGCTCCACATACAACTCCATTGTCACGTTTATCCTTGTTAGCTTCTGGTTCTATAAATTCTCAGAACCAGAATAATCAGCAGTTGGAGAACGGTGAAGAAATGGAACCAAAAGAAACTGAGCCTATTCAGCAGCATTCGCAGGAACATTTTCATTCACCCAATAATCCCGACTTCTCCCAACTGCTGGATTGAAGTTGCATTTCTCTTTATACATCAAGCTTTGGACTCCAGTGTACAGTGTGAACTTACTAGTAGTTGAACTTGCATATTATGTATGTTTTAATATTGCCATGCTGATCATTGGACGTTTTTAATATTTCTTTATTATTGATCATTGAATGGTTTTAATTATATTGGTTTCCTGAAAGTTTAAAGTGCCATTGGTCTACTTATAGTGCATATCATATTTTATTTGATGAGGAAAAAAAATGTCTTTCATAGGAAGGTGTAAATTTAAGTCTTGGCACAGGTTCCTGCCTTAATGCTGCAAATCAATTAAATATTTGTGTGATATTTTTATATTATTAGGAATTTTAACAAATTAGTTTTTAAAATTTTTTTGGGGGATATAATGAAATTCTTAACAAGGTCATAAATTGCAAGAACCATAATTTTTACCTTGTTTTCTCAGTATTCATTTAATATAGTTCATAATTTAATTTGTAAACAATATGTATGCAATAGTTATATGACAGCTCTTTCAACAATTTTTAAAATATAATTTCCTGTATTTGGGTGTTAGTTATAAAATAGATTTAAATCTCTGAATTGAAATTAAGACAGCACACCCTAAAGGGCCACTTGGCTGCCAGCGGCCAAGTGGTTAAGCCTGCTGAATGCTGGTAATTTCACCATGACAAACTGGCTAGCTATGTGGTTGTTTTCTTTTTCCTCTCATGTGTATCATGAATACAAGTCAGTGTCAATTAGAAAATCCTCCTCTAAGGCATCTCAGGGCAGAGGCTCCTAGCAAGGTTGGTATTGATCCCCGGGGGTCAGTGGAATTTTACAGGCTGCCAATAGATGATATAAATAAATGTCAGTAATAGAATAAAGGTGTATCATGTAGTAAGGAAGAAATCTTATCAAATATATGTTAAAATTATTTAATATATTTTAAATAGTATAGGTAATTAATAATATTTTTTAAATGTATAAAATTTTTATGCAGTTAGTGCAAAATATAAAAAAGTAAAGCGGTGGAACACAAGAAAACGGTAAAAAAATATATAATATGAATAATGCAAAACCAGACTGGGGAAAAAAAAAAAAAAAAAAAAAAAAAGAAACAGATTGTCTACTTTTGAATGAAGTGATATTAAAAATCAAATTGAATATTTATTAATTTTTTATTTTTTGCCATAAAATTGCATTAAACACATCAAGCTTAATTCTGATATTAATTAAAATCAAAGTTGGGCGCAATTAGAATTTGATTGTTTCTGAAACTCGTTTATATTTATAAAATTAAGAATAATAATAATACAAAAAGTAATTAAACATAAATCTAATAAAGTAATTATCTCAACTAATCTAATAAACTATTAACATGTTGATGGCAGCACAGATATTCATTGTTATTTTCGTGCGCTTGAGTCAGCGGCCCGTTTCATGGGGCAGCGCAGCACCAAATTATAAAATTAAAATTTAAAAATTAAAAAATAAAACTTATAAAATAAAATTATTATATTATATATTTTATAATATAATGTATTTTTTGATATACAAGCAAAATTTAGTGTTTTTTTATATACAAGCTTTTCCATCAGTGAGTTATGCTGGCCCGCTGAACAATCAAGTATGACCCACCGGTTGGGTCAGGCCGCTCCAAGGAACTGACAAGTATGACCCACTGGTGGGTCAGGACGGCGTCAACATGTGAAATTAATTATGTTGTATAGAAAAAAAGGAGGTCAATAAAGAAAATTGTTCCTTTAAAAATGGTCAGTGTATAGGCAGATAGCCCCCTGTGTTTTAGCATAAACAAATAACCTAACTAGGTCTCATCTGATTTACCATGCTTCTAGTTTTAATCAATGACAGTTTTATTGTTTGTTTACATTTATTTATTTTAAGGAAAATAGTAGGATAGTACAGGAATGATGAAATTAAAAGTATAAAATCAGTAAGTGGATCATCAGTATTTTTTAAAGGAATCAAAATTTATCCCAGCGTGAAAATCTCTGAATGTAAAAACATCGTGTTTTCTAAACTCATAATTTATTTTTAAAAAGAAGGCTTGTTGGTGTAATATATTCGTAGAGTTGAGATGAGCCCGCTTAGTGAATTTAAATTTGATCGAATGTCAAGTTAATGCTTTAGTGTTAAATACTACTTTATTATGTCTTTTAATTGTTGACTGTAATTTTTTTTTCAGTTAAATTTTTAACTCAACGTTACATGAATTCTAACACAGTGGTTCTCAACCTGTCTTGCTTTCACCATTCGTGGAGGATCATTCCACCTCCTTACAAAACTCAATACATTTATTTAAATTTAAATTATTTGTTATATCTTATTATGAATTAAACATGAAAAAATTGAGAAAATGGTGATAAATACCAAAGCTTGAACCCCCTGGTTGAGAACGTCTATGCTAACAGCTATTTTATCATATTTGCCACCTGGCTGGTTTTCACTCAAATAAGCCTGTTTTTTAGATTTATGGCTCAATTGAACTATTTTATTTCTCCAGTTTTCATAGAAATTGTGACAATGGAAGACCACCACAAACTGTTAGGGAAAAACTTTGATACAATAACACCACAAAAATCTACAGCAATACCTTTTACAAGGTGCCTACAATAATAGGGTGAATTTGGTTAGGGACTTTGTGGATACCCTGTATATGGCTGAATGATTCATAGAAACAGCCTTTTCAGGGAAGACTTCTGCTTTTGTTTTATAAAACTGAGAGGAAATTGCATATGATGGAATTAAAAATTTAATAATTAGTTAAATTAATTAATGGAATCATTTTCATTTATGTATTTTTATAATTTATATTTTCATATTTAAAAATAAGATTTTAGTGGTAAAAGACATAACTAACTAAAAGTGGTAGATCACATATATGTCATTACCATGATTAATTTTCTTTTAAACTTTGGATGCAATTAATTGAAAAAAAAGAATTTTTTTTTAATATCCAATGATCCAATATATCTAAATATCCAATGATCGTTGTGTTAAGGAAGAGTTTATTAGTATTCATTAATTTTTTTCCAAAAATGTAATATTTTCCATATAAAGCTTATTTCATTAGGGCCAATTAAATTGTAATATAAATTAATATTAATAGCATCTAAATGACAAACATTATTTAAGTTAAATTTTACTTGACTTGCATATTGATAGAAACAGTGTGCAAGGAATAAATTGCTGGTGAAGTAGAAAATATTCTGGAATTTAATTAGTGCAGGAATAAAATGGTGGTGAAAGGAGTTGTATTAGCACAAATAATATATATATATATACTCTACATATTATTGTAATATGGACATATGTAAATAGTTTTGAATCTTAACAGTTTCGGTTTGTTCCACTCAGGCAATACTATGCTGTAAGTGATTGCTTCTTTGTGCAGTAAATGGAAGAGCTGTGTTTGGGACATCCATTATTGTGATAAAGTATTTTTATTTATATGATAAATGGTTCTTATTATAAATAATTGTAGTAAAATAATCATCTTTGTAAATATATCTAGATAGGATTTTTTGGGAGGAGTGGGAAAGAAAAAAAAAAGACTTGGTTAATGCATGATTTACTCAGTGTTCAAACCCTGTTAATTTTGTAAAAATTACACATTATATATAAATATTAACTAAGACCTGGAAGAGGTGTTGGTTTTAGGACAAGTATAAAATCTTATAAACCCGGATGTTAAAAGATATTTTTATTTACCTTCCAAATGAAAACTAAACAATGCTTTTTGGTATAACAAAGTAAACATTTAAAGATAACAGGATCCTGACTAACATTCTATTATTTTTCATTGCAGTGTAATGGGTTTAAAATGGGCAGTTGATGGATTTAAAATTAGGCAAAACAGCAGCCTTATGTTTGACAGAAATTTCAACTGAACTATTAATTTCAAGGGTGATAAGGGACAAGTCTCTTTTTGCGGCAGCAAAAAATTTCTGCAGAATTTTATTGCTTCTGATAAAGAGGGACCTGTGTTTAACTGCCCTCAAAATCAATAAGAGTTTTGCTTAAAATATACTCCCAAGTTTGCTGTTTTGCTAAATTTTAAGTTTTAATTTTGTTGTACTTCTCTTCTGTCTCAGAGGAGAAGTAAATAAAGCAGCTGATTAATAATAAAATGGGGTAAGTATACCATACAATTGAGCACCAGGACAAGTATCAGTGCATTTTGCAACTTTGAAAGTTTAATAATTTTACTATACAAATTTTGATTTTTAGATATTGGAATACAACTTATTATAGTTTCTTTTTGAATATCATTCAATTTTTGACCACAAATTCAATATGAGAGGAGAATTCGAAATGCCAAATTTGAAATTTAAAACTAAAATTGATTTTAGATTGGTATTCATTTATTTTAAAACATTGTATATTTCACAATAGACCAACATAGGTTTGTTTCTTTAAAACTGATATATTCTACTATATATTTTTGCTATATCAAAGAAAACATGTGCAGTTTTTTTTTTTTTTTTTCCTGTTTGGAAAAAATGCCAGTCTTTTGCAAAATATGTGGAATTTTTGTCTGAAATGAGCATCAAATTAAGACTGATCTTGCCTAACTTTAAATTTCAAGAATGCTTGTTTGTTGCTAATTGTTTAAAGTTTATTGTTGTTGTGTTTATTCCTTAATTTTTTAACTTTAGAAATTTGCTTTATTTTTAAAAGCCAATACTTGATGCTGCATATCTTTCTGCAAAGGACTAAAGTGTACATCCCAGTGAAAAAATGAAAATATTATAACTTGGTTTTAGGTATTATGCTCTTAGTTGAAAATGTTGGTATGTAACTTGCGGATGAGATTTTAGTGTCAATATAATGCCCGGTAGTTTTGCAGAAAGAAAGAAATGATGGTTAGGAAAACAAAAATGTTAGGTTTGTAACTGTGGTAGAATGTGCATTTAAGAATTCGAAAAAAGTGAAACATATTTATAAATGATTTATGATGAAACGTTTTGCATACTTACAGTTTAACCATGACAGTTCTTTTTTAAATGTAGTCAAAGTAATAATAAATAGTAACTAAAGTACAAAACTCAAGCCCTAAAGCTGATTTATCTATCTCATAATATCTTAAAAATTAACATAAAAAAATTCACTGAATGCAAGTAATAATAATAAGGCTTATAACATCTTTCTCATTGTATTATTGAAATCTTAAAATTCACAGTTTTAAATATATGATGATAACATATTGCTCTTTTTCTAATATAAAAACCATAAAACTTGGATTCCATTTTAAATTGCTTTATAAATCATTGCTAACCTTAGTTTCAAAACAAAAAATAATTAAATGAAACATTTTGATATTTTGCATTGTTTCAAAATATTGAGGTAGTGTTGTGTCAACAGTTCATATAAATGCTTTGAATAAACATGCCTAGAGAGCAAAAAAAATTAACCAAAAATTTTTAACCTGTTTTACAACTGGAGCTACAACAGTTTTTACAGGTGAAGGAATTCAGAACAGATCCAGATGTCTTTGTCAATTTTTATCCCAAAGAATAAAGAGAATATAAAAAAAAATGTGGCAACACTGAACACTCTGTAAACATTATGATCAGCTGAGTATATCCACACCATGCACCTTTTTTCTTTTCACCTTTTCTAATATAAGTTGTTATTGCCATATATTATATTAAAGAAATAGCACAACAAGAGTTTAGAATAGAGGGGAGTAAAATTGTAGTATTAGGTTCTGATGTGGAATGGTAATCATGGACAAAGAGAGCGAGATGAGCATTGGAACAGAAGCTGTTTAAGCTGCTGAGTTAAGAACTGTGGTTATTGCTTTTAAATCATTTGGTTTGTTAATCAATATCAGACAGATTAAATTTGAAAGTTAAATATCTTATGTTTTACTGAGTGGAAGATAAAAGTATTTTATTTCCAGGAGTGACAACACATTGCTTTTTTAAACAGTAGAATTTAATAATATTTGAAGGACTAATAGGGTAATTTTTGCTTGGCAACTATCTCATGCTTTAGAGATAAAAATGCTTTATTTTGAAAAAAGTTGCCACTGCTCGCTTTTAAATCATTGAGTTTATTAATAAAAAAGTCATTAAATTTATACAAAATATGAAATAAAAGCAAATTCAAAATTCTAGCTTCGAGGTGCGCATGTCCGGGTGAAAGACTACATTGTTCAATCTTGATTGCTCTAGATATCACTTTTTCCTGTACTGAAAGGAATGTACATATAGATAGATTCTTCATTATTTAATATTAGAGATTATGTTGAAAGATTGTAAAGTGAATTATTAAGCACTAAAGAATGTTTCATTTCAAAATAATTTTTATTTTGGCAAGTAAAAATATAGTTTTTTTATTAAAATCTATATCTATATCTTCTATTCAAGTATCATATGTTTTGCTATGTCTTTCAAGTAAACTGGTTTTACTGCCTTTTTTTTTTTTTTTTTTTTTTTTTAAAGCTTTATAAAATTAGTTTGAAAATTTGTGAAAAAAAGTTTTTGTTAGAATCAGAATATATTTCATTCTTTGAAGTAGAGGGCATGCCCTTGATATAAATACAGCTCTTCTGTAAAACCTTTGCCAACTGAGATTGACATTTGTATTGTTTTAAAACTCAAGTTGGTATGCTTCTCTCAAGTTTACTGTTTTCATGTAATATGCTTTTTTAAAAATATTTTTATATCTATTTAATTTGCTCTAGCAGAATAAAATTGTTTAACCCATTGCCGCTGGTGTTGCGTTGACGCAATGGTTAAAATAAATGCGTATATAAATACAACTACCTAAGATATTTTATACCAGCAGATGATTTTGTGTAGGGAATATTATGAAGATAATTTCTGTAAAAAAATATTTGCCGTCAACAATCATTTTGTTTATAATAATTAATCTCATACTTTAAGCAAAATTTTCGACCGGGTATTTTTGCTGAAAATATTTAACGAAAGAATCGCCGTCTTAATGAGTGATCTATTTTTAGTCAAGGTCACCATTTATCAGAACATTACATCAATCAGATGTTTATATTTGTGTTGGGAAGGCAAGGAAAAACAGGTGTTACACTGACGCAACGTCAGCAGGAAACAAATAATTCAATCTCCTTTTTCACTCATTCCTTTCGATGTTTCCGGTTCATGTTCTAGCTGCTTTAAAAATGCCTAGAATGAGGTATCTTACATTAAGGAAGAAGCCTCTTCAAAGATTTTTTGATGAAGAAACAGATGATGATAATGTTAATAATGACCAGAATGAAACTGATGATTGTTGTTGTTCCCCCAGAAATTGCAGAAACTACAAGGAATGTTTCTTTTCTCATGAAAATAATAACAAATATTAAATAAAGGGTTATTTTACACTTTTATCTTGTTGAAGAAAGTGACGAAAAAGAAACGAATGGCAATGTTTTAAATAATGATAATGATAATGATATTTTACCAAATGATACTGTTACTGGGGAAGTTGAAATTCACGTAAGAAGTAAAGTTTCAGCCATCTAAAAGCAGTTATAGTCATACTAAAAAGTTTAAAAAGCAGAGATTGAAATTGAAGGGATAAAAAGGAACTGTTTAGTTATGTCTCAGCAGAACATGAGAAAGAATAGAAGAGAAATTATAAAGGAAAAATACAAGGTAAAACTAGTGCACAGATTTTGATTTTGTTTTGGTTTGACATTTACTTTCTTCCGTTGAGAGACTATACTCAAAAAAAAAAAAAAAAAAAAAAAAAAAAAAAAAAAAAAAAGGGGGGGGAATTTATTACATCTGAAGCTTATATGAGAAGATTTATTGGATATCTTGCTACAGGATATTTTCTTTACCTCAAGAAAAAAATTTATTGGTCTTGATAAGGACATTTCTATTCCTGTTGTACGAGAATTGATATCACGTTTGCAGCACAGGAATATGAAGCAGAATTTGCCTTTGGCAATAGTCAAATTGACAATACTGATAAATTATATGAGGTGAGACCGTTTCTAAACTTACTAAATATCACCACTTTTTACTACTGGAAATAGTCTCTTTTAGATTTTAGACGCGAGAATGTATTATTCCTTTTGCAAACTCCTATTGAGTGTGTAGAATTAGCCAGAAATAGATCAAAAACAGGAAGACCTAGTAAATTCAAAACCATTGCATGGAGATGGTAGACATTTTATCGTAAAGTCGTTGATAACAAAAGACTTTGTTGTAAAGAGTACCATAGCCATACGTTATAAGATGCAAAGTATGTAATGTAGCTTTACATCATGATTGTAATCAAGCTTTTCATGCTTGAATCTTTCAAGTGAAATAATCTCTATTTGTAAACGAAATACAATGCATATTTTAATATTAAAATAATTACAAGTAAAGTAATTTTGTAGATTTATAAAACGTTATACAGCTAAAAAGTAATCCTGCGCTCCACTCAAAAGAAACATCACACGAGCACAATCCTACTCACTAAACATCCGTAGTCTTATTCCACTGACGTTGCGCGAACGCAACACACGCGTTTTCCACATGTAAGAGCATTTTTTTTTATTTTCAATGTAAATTTATGTTATAAATGCTTAATTTAATATTTGTTATTATTTTCATGAGAAAAGAAACATTCCTTGTAGTTTTGGCGGTTAATGGGTTAAAGAAGCAGTTTATACTCAAGATAATTACATCATTTATGTTACATTTTTACATCTGATATTTATAGGTAGAGATATTATGAAAAAGTTAACTAATTTTATTGTGTATTACCATATACTTCCACGTATAAACTGAGAATTTTCAGAACATTTTTCTGTTTTAAAGTTAAATTTTGGATGTCGACTTGTATACAGATCTGCTAATCATGAGAAAATTTTTTCCGTTAAATGTAAATTGCCAAATATACCACTTTATTATTTTTTAAGTTATGAAAGAAAATTAATCTTCAATGAAATGAGTAATATTATGAAAATTTTATGAAAAGGAGTTTTTGTTTATGATACTGGTTTGTTGTGCCACTGCCAAAATGAAAATAAGATAACACTTATACCACAGATAGTAGAGAAGACAACAAATTATTGGAAAAAAAAGTCCTAGCTCTAGGGTTACCAGAGTTAAAAATATCTGGTGTTTTACTTTACAGTGAATTCTTTTGAAAATATACCACCCGTTTTACTTCCTTGACAATATTTTTAATGGCAACGTTATGGATAGAATTTGCCTTTTCATTTTAGTGTATATACAGGGTTTTAAATTTTGGGCAAATTTTTTAAGAAAAAATACACTCTGGCCTTATATTAGGAAATGTACAGTATTTATTGATTTAGTGTATTTTATTGCATAAGTATATTTATCTCTAGTATATATATATTATATATATATATATGTAAAATAAAAAAATAATAATAAATTAAAGAGAAGATTAACAGTCTTAACTGGAGATACATATATATCAAAATTGAAAAACTGAAACCAAAACAACCAAATAAAATAACATAATAAAACAAAACGGTTAAAAATTCTTTGGTCTTTTTCAAGAAGCAGAATGGAGTTGTGTTTCTGAATTATATCTGGATGATTAAAATTTATAAAATAACTCAAGTATCTCAGTATTTTGCAGAACTCTAGCTTCATATTTACATAAAAGAAAATGAATTTTGTGTCTTTTATAAGTTGAACTTGTAAATCAAAATTAATGATTCTGTCAATGAATTTATGATTGCTAATCAAAAATTTTGTTATCAGTAAAAAGCATTTGCTGTCAGTCTGGTTCTTGCAATTTTATAGCTTATAAATATTAAAAAAAATTATTCTTAACATTTTCTATAATCAGGCATAAAAGTTTTGATGCTGTTTTCCATATGGAAGAAATCATGATTTTTATAAGCACCTAGTCATGTTTTCAACTTTATTAGTAAATTTTTAAAATGAAAAGTGTGTAGTTGTATTTTTATGAGTTTCAGTCGAGTAACTAAGTTTAAAGGCAGTTATTTTCGTACATATGAGATATTTTCTGAACTATTTGGATATCCTGTGCCAAGCTTTGGTGAATATATTGTTTTCTCTCCATTCCCCAAAGTTTCTTCATCCTCAAAAGCTTTTATGCTAAGCATTTAAAACTCTTGAGGTTTTTATTATTATATTATTATTAGCTTTTAACATTTTCCAGTGATTTGCAAA